GTCTTCCATGGTACGTGTTCTTGGCCCCGCGGGGCGACCTCTAGCAAATTCGTAAGGTCATTCCTCCATTATACATTGATAATTTGTTTTAAGAAATTTCGTTTGCTGCTAATTAAATACAAAAAGAAGTCGGTTTTTAAATTATGCAATATAATTAGCTGCGTAAGAGGAAGCTGAAAAATTACACAATACATTGCTGTCCTTTCTCTTTCATTTTGTTCTGTAATACAATAGTCCCAAACTGGTGGGCGGCATGGGGCACACGAAGGCGTTTCAGTTATGTATTCGTTACAAATGCGGTGTCGCAAAGATTGAAGCACTCGGGCTTTCAAGTGCGCATGTTCGAGTGATGACTACGTTATTCAAAATTTGATGGCTAATGGGTGCCGTCATTTTTTCATAATGCGAGGAACATGCGTACACGCACGCATATTTTTAGTCCAAAGGGATTTGAATCCCGAAGGACTATTAGTTTCGTTTTGGCATTTTGCGTCGGACTCATAAATGTCGGTTCACTTTTCAAACTGTTGCCACAAAATGTTAGAGTCCTGCATTATATTTGAAGAAATTAAATAATGAAAAATCTGCATAAATGTATGTATATTTCTCGTATTGTGATAAAACAACGGTACATCATCGAATTTTGAATAACGTAATCCTCCAACGAATATGAGCATGTGGAAGACCAAATTTGAAATTTGAAATTTGTTTTATGATCGATTTCCTATTTTTTAAAACTTTGACGAATTTTTGATTAACAAACTCAAGGATTTCAAAGCGAGCAATGGCAACGTTGTGCAGAAAAAAAACATTTTTATCTCCAGCGCGTGAGTCTCTGTATCGGAAATTCTAAAGATAGGCTCGTTTTAAAACTATTTTGCGATATTGCTGTTGCACTGGATCTTATGGTTTAAGTGCGAGGAACATGATATTTAATAAAGAATGGTAACACACAAAATGTTAAAAAACGCCCCTTTGGACGTAATTTAAAATCTGAAACATTTCAGATTTTTTTTTTTTTTTCATTATTTAATTTCTTTAAAAATAATGCAGGGGGAAAATATAAAATATTTGGAGGCAGCGATTGGAAAAGTGATTCGGTCGTTTGTAGTGAACCGACGCAAAATCCCATTTTGAGACTAGTAGCCCCTTTTGGGGCTCATAAGTATCTGCCCTGTCAGCTATTTTCAGATAGGACATCAGTCCCGCTTGCAACTGGAATTAGAGATATTGCTCTAATATACTCATCTGACAAGAGTTGCATATTTGCTTACGTTATAAAATATTCGAACACTACTCAAAAACAGATTTTTATCTGAATATTTGACATTATTTAGTATCTTTAGAAATGTGATTTTGGCAACAATTTTCCTTTCTTATGTTTGTTTGATAGATGTCCGATGAACTGGTCATTTTGGAATAGTTTCGTTCTTTTTAGAAATATGGGTTGGCAACCGATGGTTTTCATCGGAATAATGCGAGGACTAGGGGTGGGTTAGTTTCGATGCATATTTGTCAAGCGTGTGGTTCCTTTGGGGGGGGGTGTGTGGGTATCATGGGTCAGGGAGGCATGTGTCCGTTTTGTGTGGGGTTTAAAGTCGTTACGATTGGTGTTGGGGGTTGGGAGGGGGTGGGGGTGGTGGATTTGTTATTGTGAGAAGTGGTTGGGTGTTCGGCAGAGTAATGCTACGCAGGAAATATCGATGGTGTTGCCTTCTCCATTTTTTTCGAGGAAAGAAAAGAGAAAAAAAGAGGAAAGGACAGTTACAGCGAGACGAAGGCTGCGGCGAAGCTGCTAGTGAATAAAAAAATGTGTGATGTATGTATACTTTTTCCGTGTAAATGCTCCGTTTAATGCATCATGTTTTTTCCTGTTAATTTGATAACATAGAAAGACATAACCATGAGAAAAACAACTTAAAATATCAATGGAAAATTAATTAAGCGTGAAGAATCTCCGTTCATTGGAAGATTCTGAATGTAGTTAAAATGTTTCATAAACGTTTATCAAGGGGTGGTAATTTCTGTTGCACCAGTTTTTAAAACATTTTCAACCACCTACACTTAACTAATTTCGCGTCACGCAGAAGATTAAATTTTTTTTTTTTTTTTTTTTGGTTGGGGTTTTTGTTTCAGAATCCTTTTGTCTGGTCTCACATTGTAAAGAAAACGACTAGACAAAGTCATTCTGTTACTGTCGGGTTTCCATTCGCTGGAACCACTTCCTTGTGTTCTGCGGGTTGTAATCTTTGTGGGTGTTACGTTTAAATGTATTGTTTTATTGGGCTAAGTCTTGCCAATACCACATGATTGAACCAGGCATTATCTGGGTCGTACAGTGAAGTGGGATATGTTTTTGCACATGTGTCAGAATGGAAAATAGCCGCTGAGGGAATCTACTAAGGTAACATCTGTATAGTGCCAATCTGGATGTTTACTTTGGTGTTCGTGAAGTACGTATGCCTCTTAATTGCTTCGGCATAAGGGCCCTTAAATGTTTACGTGGTCCTCTAGTTAATAAATAACGATAGAGAAACTATCCTGAAATGGCAGTGTAATTTTGAGCTAAGGCTTAGGGAACATCATGCTAGGACCATATAAAAAAACGTTATAATTTTTTTAATTTATTATGCCTACTTTGGATAACTTACCCTCAAAAAATCTTAACATGATAACATTAAACTGAACACGCACGGCTCTACTGGAATGTTATGTGGATAAAAGATATTCTTTTTCTTACACTGTATTTTCATTCGCATTTGTTACCGACATTGGTGACGCAGTGTCAAGAATTACTGCTGATTGGCGTTTGTTTGAATTATTACCAATTACCCCTCTTTACAGACCTCGCTCGTAATCTTTGTTTGATTGAAATTTGTTATAACACACTCCACTTGAAAAACTAGCTCGGTTATTTAACTTTCTCAGCGACGACAAGCTTACCTTCTTCTTTTATTTTTAGTGTATAAATAGCAGAATCCTTACATTTTCGCAGGTGCGAATAAGGAAGGACGTTCATCGCGGGTAGCAGGCGAAAAGAGATTCAAACTAGACTTACGTAGGATACAAATTGTACATATATGTATGTGGGAGAGTGGAAAAGCGTGTTAGTATCCTTGCCTAGAGGGTCTCTTTTGGTGAAATTAGGAGAGGGCAAGAGGCAGGGGACAGTTTTGAGAAGATTCATCGCAATCGTTCGCTTGCCTAGTGCCGATCGTAAGCATAGTAGGTAGTACTTGCAGTATCGTGTCATGCCCGCGTGTTAATAGTGATACCTTGACACTAGCGGGCAGCACATTATATCGGGCAACTGAATAAGATGAAATTCATCTGGCTCAATGAGATATTCCACTTCATATGTAGGGCTGGATTATTCATGTGTGGCGGACGGTTTAGTGTATATTCACTATTTTCACTTATCCAACACGTCGACTATGAGGGATAGAAGTTTGTTCTTGAGGCCATCGATTATTCTATGGTAATTTCCGAATATCTTTAAGAGACTTCAAGTTGGATAAATTTTGTACTATAATTGTAAATTAGCATGACAAAGCACTGTAAAGCAATAACAGTGTACACAGCAAACGTTTTCTATGTTTGTGACGGTCTTTGGTCTAAGCGAGGTGTTTATCAGCACTGGGAAGACTGAAGCATGGGCGCGCCCTCTTGGCCATGGAACATTTCTTCTAATTTCTACAACCAAAATCATGTTGGCGCTCCTCCCCCACATCGGATGTTCCTTGTGCATCTTGTCACGCGCAGCTCGGCGCTGTACTGTGGGTCTGTTCCCAGATTAATTTAGGTGTCTCTAATTTTCAATGTAATTTCATTCTAGTTTAAACTATTTATTATATTCATTCTTGCTACTATTTTTAAAAAGAAACCAGTTTTGCAGGGAAACGTATGTACTATTCATCTTTATGAAGGCCTGGTGAATACATTAAGCGATGTTAGGGTGCAATTGTGTAAATAGTGATTTCACGCATATAGGAGTGTGATCTTCTGGGTTAATCAGGAGTTTACAAATAATTTCTTAATGGGAACTTAAACAAACTTAAAATTTAATTCTGGTAGTCTATAAACTGCAGAAAAACATTGAAACAACATGATAAACGTCTCATTGTGTCACAAAAAAAATAGTATACATTATTATGGCGAGATAATGGATGTTTTAGACATAGCTTTTAGATGCACATTAGTGTATATGTGAAATATATGTTGGAATACCCCAGCAATTAAATAAATGTGCCAAATGTAGTTTTGGTTTAGGGATTATGCAGCAGGCATAAACAAATATCTTGGAGGAACTATGCCTTGTGGAGGACCTTTTAGTGGAAACTGTTACATAAACATGTTACACATGGGGAAACTATGAAAATGCTCATGCAGCCAGCTCGTTCACATGTTTCGAACCTATTATTTGTGTGTTATTTTCTGATTTTGTCTAATTAATCAAGGTAAAACAGAGATGCCTACCTTGTGCTCAGCCGGTATACGGGCCAGGGCCACTGGTTCATCTTCCTTTTCCATCTGCAAATCCTTCGAGAGATATAATCCACAAATGATCAGTACATCTTTGCACAAACATATTTAATATGAAGAAATGGTTACATATAGTAACAAATACACAGTAAAGGTTTAAATTTCTGGCGCAATGCAGCATGCAACTTTTCCCTTCAGAGTTCTCGAGCGATCTGCCCGTGAGTTCATAGTTCATAATGACATCACACAGCAATGTCAAATCTCAACAACATTTGTGTTGCAACAGAACCTAACTACCAGTGTTCAGAGACTTAACTGCACATTAGCAAATGTATGAGAAAGCAAACAATAAATGAGTTACATTTCCCATAAATGAACCATATTCCACTTTTTTATATTTTTATATGTTCCTGAATGTGTGAATGAGACATGTAGATAATAATATATGAGTTATCATTCAGTTTTTCTGTATGCTTTTATTTATCTGTGCACTGATATATATTTTTTCCCTTCAACAGTATATATCAGCCATAAAATGCCAGGGTCATGTGCAAGGTGCAGTAATGTAGTTTATTTTAATGAAGAAAAAATAGCTATAGGTAAATCATGGCATAAAAGTTGTTTCAGTTGTGGTAAGTACTTAAACATATTTTTTTTTTTATTAAAAAATTTATGTGTTTCTGTTCTTATCTGATAATTTTTGGTTACATAAAGGTTCACTTTAAAGTAGTGTTTTAATTATAAAAACAATAAAAAGAATTAAGTATTTTTGGCTACTTTCTACGTCAATCATTGCCACCTCTCCCACACACCCCAAAAAGTAGTGAATTTACTCCACTAAGCAACAATTAGTATGATTTATTCGTGGTTGTTGATTATCTGGTAAATAATTAAATAAGGATTGTTTTGTAAAATTTTTAAATTCCATTTGAGGCTGTCATCTTACAAAATTTTCCAATTTATTAATACTCCTTTTTAAATTAGGTAAAAAAGTGATCAGGCTTTGGCATAGGTTTAACAGTGATCTGATCTCTGTCTGGGTGTTGTATTAAAAATTTATGACAGACTGAGATTGTTGGGTTTTACATTTGACATTGGTGTGTATCTTTCTAATTAACCCGGCGGAAGGCGCACCAAGAAAAGTTACTAGAACGGGTGCGTGGGGTATCACATACCCCAATATTTAAAATACAATAAAATAGTATTATTTAGTTTTAAAACTTTTTTTTTTTCCTCGTGTTTTATAAATAAGTGAATAATAATTGGGTTTCAAAAAATAAATTTCCGAAATAATCTTAGAGTTAAAATTAAGATAAATGAAAATAACATCATGCCTCTAAGTTTCATTGCATCTCTATACACCATGCTTTTTTATTTCTTCCCACTTTGAACGAAATACATTCATGTGTTCTTGGCACAGAATGTTTTCACATTTTAAACATTGCATTCACGTTTTCCCATGGCCCGAGGGCAAAAAATTTAACACGTCTTTCATACTTAGTTGTTTCTAATTTCATGTATTCGTTTTAATTCTTCATGAAACTTAATTTCTGCTTTTGCATGCAGTACCTCAATTTCTGGAAAAGTATTAAATCTCTGATCTTGTTCAATATTTTTCATTAATTGTAATTCTAAGTCCTTCAAAAACCTTCTGTGTTTCTTGCTGATGGATTAGCAGTTGAATTAATATAATTCAAGCATTTATTACAGCAACATTCGGTGCAGGAAAAAAATTACCATTGGCCACCTTCTGTTATTCTGGCAATTGAAATATTGGCTGACATTCATCCCCATATCCCCTGCTCCTTTAGTGTTATTATTAACAACATATAATTCCTAACGTTTTATTTTCTCTAATAGTATCATCTATAGTATGATTGTTATAATGTTATAATGATCATTATATAAAGCATAAGAAGTTTTTCCTTTATAGGAACATCAGGAATGTTTTATCTTTTCGAAACCAAAACATTCTAGAAAATATTCTTAGTTTCATCTTCAGTTTCTGAAATGCAATCTTCATCGCTTTCAAATATTTCTAATAAATCTCGCATACGTTGCATCTCCAGTTCATAGGGACTCATTCTTTTTACCATAATGCAGATAGAAATTTTTAAGAATTTAATGTCAAGTACTTTAAAATCACTTGCGAGTAGAAATATTTACTGTTACACTCTAGAAATAAATTTCTGAACTAAATATTCAGTCAGAAAAACACTTGTATGGACAGGCGCATGGGGTGTGTCATATCCCAGTTCCACAAAATACCGATAAATCTTTTTCTGAAACACACAGGCAAAGAAAAAAGCGGTTCTGAAAGTCAACCACAACTAGAAACTCAGCTACTGAAAGCAGCACAGAATTTCAGTTTCACAAGTTAGGAATATTCCACTTTTATGTAGGGTTGGGGTATGCTACACCCCATGCGCCTTCCCGCGGGTTAATAGGAAGCTCTAACCTAGGAGGAAATTTTAATTTAGGGGGGAATGCAGTCAACCTGTTATTTAGCAGTTAAGTGTTCAATTTTATTTTATGAATATAAAAGGGTTCTTTTATTCAAGCATTGCTATTTATCAATGTATTGTATTGTTTGATTTATAAAACACAATAAAAATAATATAAATATAAACAAATGTATAAGTACTTTTTGAGTTATATCACAAGAGTCTTATTTCTTGTGATGATGTTTTCTTGTGAAATTTTCATCATACTTAATTTGTCGTAGAAGCTATTAGCTCACTTGCAGTCATATCTGTTTTTTTTTTTTTTTTTCCCTCTAGCAAAAGCTGTGGTCAATTTTACTATGTGATGATACATTCCCCAAATTCCAGTCAGAATCACATTGAGTTGCTATCCTTTTCAGCTACTACATAAACTGTCAAATAATATTTCGAAAAAAAAAACACTTTATTAACATACTCAACCGCTAAATCAGTTCTTGACATGAATGGTTTTCAGAGCTTGCATTATTTTCAACCAAGGTTTGGCCCTCTTTAAAACATTTCTCCCACTTGTGCATATGAATATTTCCAAAGCTTAATCCATAAATGTTGTTTTTATTGCATTATGTGTCCCTATAAAAAAGTTATGAAGTTTCTTGCAGAGTTTTGTAGGAATCCATTGCATCTCATATTGTGCAATCAACACATATTAATAAAGGTAAATAACACGATAGCAAATGAAAATATATCGTACTGTTTTACAGATAATACACAAAGCATGCTGCTAGAAGCCTGCATAGAATGTATATACATATAACTATTGGTTGGTGATAGATAAGTGTATTGATAGAGTTTAGATTTGCTGCTCAAAAATGAATTTTTTAAACATTGTAGAGACATTAGATTAATTGGAAAAGCCAGAGCAATGAAAAATTAGCAACCGCCTTCGCCGGGAATTGAACCACGGACCTCTGAAATACCAGGCCAGTGTGCAAAACCACTACACCTTGAAGGCATGCCAAGAATGTGGAAGAAATACCTTATAACATATTAATGTATTTATTTCATAATAAGACTTCCAGTATCATTATTGCAGTGATAATTGAGTTCATTTTGTATTTTTCCATTCATTCTATGTTATTAATTTCATAATGAAATATGGAGCATGTAAATATACTTGTCTTTATATGTCCTTAAACTTACTTACTTTCTTGTTTTATTTTATTTCAACTCAAGCTAATAAGCAATGCAACAGACGATTAGACAGTGGAAATCTGACTGAACATGAAGGAGAAATTTATTGTCGTTCCTGCTATGGCAAATTGTTTGGACCTAAAGGTTATGGGTATGGTGTTGGAGCTGGGGTTTTATCGATGGACACTGCTGATGCTTACCGTAATGGGCCACCAACAAGGTATATGTAGTGTAAATTCTATTCTTGTAAATTTTCCATATAAAATGTCTCTTTTGTGAATGTGATTGTATTATGCATTAAAGGGGTGCTTCCCAAGTAAGATATCGCTTAAAATTACTCGAATCAATAACAGGTATTTGTGACATGATTGGCTTGGCTATCAAGCTATGGAACTAAGGATCACAGAGTCTGTGCTCGGCTGAGCAGCTTCAATCAAAAAGAATAGTGACCTTCACAGGGACCCTCTGTTGGCAAACACCACCATTAAAATATTAAACTGAACAGATAAATAAGCAGTTTGCTCACATTACAAAGTATAGACCAGGGTTTCTTAAACTTTTTTTCATCTGCGACCTCTTTTCATCACTGAGATTTTTTCGTGACCCCCAGGACCCCATAATATTTACAAAAATTTTGTGTGACCCCATAAGTATTGTGCAAATCCGACACACCTGTGAGTGAAACTGTCAATTTTTTTCATTTGTACTGTAATATACTATTGCAGGTTTAATTTTAAGACATAGAACAATGTTAAAATTTTAAATTTTTTTCACGTGCGAAGCAAAGAAAATGAAGTTTATATTACGAAAAGAATGTGTCAAAATGTTTTTGTTTTTTCCTTTGTCTGTATTGTCTTATCTTTACCTATTTTCAAATACATTGTGTAAATATATTTGGCAATTGTAAAATTATTGTAATAAGTTAAAGAAATAGCAAAACTACTAAAATTTTTGGCCACCCACAGTTTAAGAAACCCTGAAATAGACGATGCCAAGAGAATGGCAAGGCTTTTAAAAAAAAAAAAAAAGTCTGAGGTGCAACACTTAGCAATCACTGACACACACTTATTTAATCTGAAGGTTACCAGACACATAATCAGAATAAAAATCTCATGTTCATTGTATTCTACAGCTCTGCAATATATTCTTTAAAGATATAAAATTAAGCCTTTGGCTTTTAGTGTCAGTTCACATTGTAAACTCGGCCGGAAATGTCAAGTGGAATTGAGAAAGCAATCAATTGTTTCTTTATAATTTGTTTATTAGATCTGAAAAGTGTTAAAAGACACTCAGATTGATGGTTTTCTATGGAAAAAAAAATCGTTTGCCTAAATAATTAAAACATATGATTATATAAAAAAATGACCATCAAGATATTTTGAAATCATGAGAGTCCGATCAACTATACTGCACATGAGCTAACATATTGTGAACATAATGTAACTGGAGTTTCTATATACACATTTGCTTGGAACTTCAGTCGTTAGGTTTCTATGGTCATAGGCGGCTGGGTGCATGGAATCCACATCTATCTGTACTGTAAATGCTGTTCATTGCTTGGCATTTTACAATGGCTGGCTATTCTAGATACTGGGAGAAGTGCTAACTGGTCTTACAGATTGACAAATTGAAGTTAATTGTGCATAGTCTGATGACTGTGTGTAGTGTGACAGTGACATAAAACTGCATTTACTAATATGTACAGTTCTGTTTAATAAGGCAGTGTTTTTTGTGGCATGAATATTTTGAGATTGTTAAGATTTTCAGCGCAAGAATTATGAAAAATCAACTACAGTACAAAAGTCTTTAATCCGAACTCGTTGGGACTTCGGCGATTCTGGATTAAGGGTTTTTCCGGATTATAGATCATCAATTTAAATCTGGTAAGATGGCATGCAGAAATTGTACAATTAAAAATATGAAACCGTAATTTATGAAATAAAGAGCAATTATGATCTAAAGGGTATAAAAATTTACAAAGAAAGCTTAATATTTATTTGTTTACTTTATTAAACATTTCTTTCAACGTGCACATGCATAAAGCATACATTACGCATAGTCGAAATTAGAAAATTGCAACCAGAAAACTATTTGATGTGTATTCATGATTTTTATAATGATGAGGAAATTGATTTAAATCATATCGAAGTACATTGAGATGAAACACTACATTCAGTAAGGAGTTATAAGCCGAATAAAATAAAAGCATCTGCCCTGAAGATGAGGATAGTGCTGACAGATCAACTTCCAGTTAATTGCACGCTGCGACGTTTCCCCCCCTCCCCGCAGAGCAGCATGAAATTGATAAACAGATTTCGGAATGATTAGAGAAACAAGTCACTTTCTTCATGCCTTTATCCATTTTTTGCAGCAATTCCGCTTTTGTTTGATGTACATCGAAACATGTATTTGCTTTGTAGATCCTTTGGCAGCTCCAGAATCGGAAACTTTTTTTGACATAATCGAAAGTTCAAGCGTACTTTTTATAAAATTGCTCTAACAGTCTGCAAAAAATAATGAGCCAGATCCAATTAGAAGATTAAGGAACAACGCAATCTGCAACATTAAGTAAAATAGATAATTAGATAATTTTAGCCTATCTTATACCGTCCGTTATACATTAAACGCACATGCGTAAAGGTATTATGCGCATGCGTAAACACATTGTGCGTTTATGCATGCACAGAAAGTTTGCAGCTTTGAGGTCCGGATTAAAGACTTTAGACTGTATTCTAGGATTCAAGGTCATAGATCATCCATTTGCTAACTTGAACATGCTGAGCACCTATTGCAGGCGACACTCTTAAAAAGTAGGCATAAAATTAGTCACTTAAATCCAGCTTGTGACAAATAATTGTTCACTAAGTTTCCGGAGACTAATAAAATTTTTGGAGCAGGAAACATGAAAAATCAACAATGCCTTTGCCCGATTTCAAACTACAGATCTTTAGACTGAACTTTCTCCTACAAAACACTTACGAATTAGAATACAGAATTAGAAATTCAGAACTTAGGCCTACTGCATTGCAAGAGTTGGGTGTAGCATTAAAATCATAAGAGAAGAGTATTTTAATAATACAGTCAAAAGTCGTTAATCTGAACTCGTCGGGACTTCGGCGATTCCGGATTATCGATTTTTCCAGATTATAGATCATCAGTTTAAATCTGGTAAGATGGCATGCAGAAGTTATAAAATTAAAAATATGAAACCGAAATTTATGAAATAAAGAACAATTATGATCTAAAGAGTATCAAAATTTACAAAAAAAAAAAGCTTAACATTTATTTGTTTACTTTATTAAACATTTCTTTCAATGTAAGTTGTTTAAATTGCTTCGTTTTTATGTGATAATACATTCTCTTTAATTCTATAAACAGACATAATTTCTTGTTCGGTTACGAAGTTCTGCTGTTCAAGTCCTATAATTGCTGTGTCGAGAATACCGATTAATTTGTCAATCGAAATTTTTTCGTTTTCAATAACCTCTGTCACTTTCTTTGCTATCAGAAGCGAATTATAATGACGAGGAATTTGATTTAAATCATATCAAAGATGGAGTACATCGAGATGAAATACTACATTTAGTAAGGAATTATAAGCCAAATAAAATAAAAACGTCTGCTTGCAGATAAGGATAGTGCTGACAGATCAACTTCCAATTCATTGTGCCGCAGCGTTAAAGATAAACAAAGTTTAGATAAACAAGCGTTAAAGTTTAGATAAACAAAGGTTATGCCTTTATCCATTTTTTGCAGCAATTCCACTTTTTGTTTAATGGACTTCGAAACATACTTTCGCTTTGTAGATCCTTTACATATTAGTAAATATATATCAGAAATTCTATTTGACATAATCGAAAGTTCAAGCTTACTTTTATAAAATTGCTCTAACAGTCTGCAAAAAATAATAAGCTGAATCCAGTTCGAAGATTAAGGAACAACGCAATCTGCAACATTAACTGAATTAGATAATTTTAGCTTAGCTTATACCGTCCGTTATACATTAAACGCGCATTCGTAAACGTATTTTGCGTACGCGCACACGCGTATTTGCAGCGTGCACTGACGCATGCGCAGAAAGTTTGTAGCTTTGAGGTCCGGATTATGGGTGTCCAAATTAACGACTTTTGACTGTAATGTTTATTTAACTTATAAATATATTTATTAATTTATATATAGATAGGTATAGATATACACTCACACACTGTATATGAGGCACCTACAAATTGGTTAAGAGCATTTTTGCCTTATAAATATATAAATAAAGTTATCTACCATTACCACATAGTATGCTTATGTTGCAGGCTAACAAGTGTCACTTGTTAAATAAGATGGCATTGAAGACTGTGAATGCTGATGTCTAACAGTGTGCTGTAAAGAAATTTCTTTTGAATGAAGGTATAAAAATGAGTGGAATTTATAGATTTTAAGCACAGCACAGAAACAGCTCTTGTTTTCAATCAGTGAAGAAGAATGCAGATCTGCAATATATTAAAGGAACATTTTGACATGGAAATCTAGTGTTTATCTGTCAGATTATCACTTGTGAAAGCATCTGGATTCATTACCTCCCAAAAAATTTCAAATTGCAGCTAAAGCCATTTAGCCTTTTGAGATAAGAGGTATAACTTAATTGGATATTCTGTCTCTTGGTACCTCCATGAGTATTGATTACTTTTCTCAGGCATCTTATTTATTTAACTGAACAATTTCATGTACACATTTAGGAAATTTTTACAATTTTTATAAAAAAGTAAAACATAAAAAAAAAGGTTTCATTCCCATATGACAAAAATTCACTGAGGTATTTAATTTCAAAATCCATAATTTTTTATGTAGCGTTCAGTTTGCATTGAGGATTGGTTAGCAGATAAATTTGAATAAATCAAAGTTGATTTTTCCACTTTTATTCTATTGTTTTTAATTTATAATTAGTATATATGTATTACATTTGGTATGCCAAAAGAATTTTCACACAAGTAATTTATAAATTTTTAAAATCTAAAAATACATTATTAATATTCGCTTTAAGTTTTATTACTTAAGAATCTTAACCGTTTGACTGCTATGTGGCGCAAAAGCGCTGCGCAGTTTGTTATTTTAGAATGCACTAGTGTTACAAAGTATGCGTTAGGTCAGACTACATACGTTCACACTCACGAAGCAACAAAGACACACTGACACTGCAAAAACGGCGTGTCACGGTTTTCAAAACAAATGAACGCAGCGCTTTTGCACCACGTAGCAGTCAAACGGTTAATCTGGTAATTGTGCACAAAAACTTGTACAAATATTTTACATTATTAATTAATGCAAATGATATTGCAAGTTTTCTGCATTCCCATACTGAAGCCTGCCAGTGTTTTCTAAAATGTGAAATCTATAAGATTTTGTGAATAAGATCTGCATTTTGAAAAAATTATTCTGATCAATATTTTTCTCAATAATCTGCATGGAAATACTTGTCAGATAATCTCTTAACATCAGAATCTTTTTTAGAATGATATTTTATTTTATGATATTTAATTTGTGTATGGTCCCTGAATTTGATTTTCTATTTTACAATCAAATAGCTTGGTCAATTTTTGTACTACAGTAGTTAAGTGTTATGTGTTTGACTTTTTATAATAATTTTTTTTGTAGCAATGTAGGGCTGGATTAACTTGTAAAAGTTAGGTTTTGTATAAAATTAAAAGTTTTTTTTTTTTTTTTACTTAAACTACTGCTTATTGCTTAATAAATAGGTATATGATACTATTATTGTGTTAAAAGCTTCTGTCCAGATGGTGTAATGATTAGGGCAGCACTGAAGGGCCCAGATTCTCGAAGAAGGCATAGTTGTAAATTGTCTTTCCCCTCATAGGAAGTAAAAGTAGCCACCTGTTCATTACCTCCATAATAAAATGGCTACTACTTCTGGCCTTAGTAATGGCAAAAGTCTAAAAAGTTGGTGATTTTTCTTTGGAATAATGATTGTCGCAACATCTTAAAATTTTCATAGTAAGGAGCACAATTTTTCAATGCCTGTCATAAAGCGTCCTCTTCTTTTCTGAGTCAGTTTCCGTTGCAAAACCAGACCATTTCTATTTCTTTTTTAAGAGTTTGTTAACTTCTTGCTAGTTAAAGTTCCTCTGTTTTCTTTACTATAATTGCTTTCACTGCTGGTGAAAATCATCCAATTCTTCTTTCATCACTTCTCAATGTCTGTGATCCTTCTTCCATATCTGAGATACATCTTCCACATACCATATATGAATGAAAATTCTAGCCTTGGGCTAATTAAATAGAAACAATTCAGATAACACGTATGTGCAAAGTCACTGCTGTCGTCTAATTATTACTCTGTGTATGATAAATTTGACCTCATATTAAAAATTTACTTAAACTTGTATAGTACTGTGTTTTAAAAGAGTTTTCTTTTAATGCAAGTTATAGTAAATGGTTAGTATATAAATTGATGGAATTTATTTTTAAACATAATTGAATTTTAGAGTTTTCATTTCTTCATTTTGTACTGTACTGTTGTTATCAAAAGTGAATGAAAAGTCATATATATTTTGAAATTAGATATCAATTTAACATTTATTTATTAATAAATTTGTTTATTTAGTAATATTCCTGCAGTCGCACAAGCACATGTAGCACCACTGCAAGCTCCAGTTGTTCCAAAATCCTCACAGCCAAGATGGGGAGGTGCAGATGTTTGCCCTCGCTGTGGCAAAGCTGTATATATGGCTGAAAAAATGATGGGTGGAGGATCGGTAATTTTTTTTTTTTTTTTTTTCTTTGGCTTAAATGTTATTTTTACTGTTGGAAAATACATGATTATAGGGAAGGTTATGTTTGAAAACAAAAACTGTACATTTGTCTGTTTATTTTAAAACATAATTTGATAAAAGAAATTTAGCTGTTAAAACTCTTTAAATAGGTAGTAATTAAAAAATCTAAAATATGACCATGTTTGGGGATGCATGGCTATTTTCAATTTTCTAAAATATTAAAGTGGTATATTCTAAGTTCAGAGTTGCCGCAGAAGGCTCCCAATTTTCGACTGTTCTCCTGCCAACCTGATTTACAATATATTTCTCCCAATTTTCTCTTATTCTTAAAATTTCTCATGATTTTTATGTGACTTTGCTTAATACTTCATTATTGGTTCAAGTTTTTTGGTTTTGCAATAGCGTTTAATAGGCAAGCAAAAATGTTCAGTGGAAATTCTGGAAATTTTTCATGGTTATCAATGATTTTGTTATTAGATTTCCAAATTACATGTAAAGTTGATTTTGATATTCCTTTCATCACCCTTGGGTTTTTGGAATGATAAAAAAAGAAGTGGCTTTAATTTGAAGTATCCATTGGTGTTAGCACCCAAGAGAAGTGTTAAGCGATCTTTCACAGCTTTAAATCCTGGTGCAGGTTTTTCTTCATGGAATAAAAATGTATGTTTTGGCATTCTTTTCCAAAATAGGCCTGTTTCATCAACATTAAACAAAATTCTGGAGGATAGTTTCCTCGTTCAAATATTCTTCTTAATGCCACTCGGAATTTAGCTGCCGCTTTGATACCTCCATTTGCTGCCTCTTCTGTAATCTGTATCCTATTAAGATTATTTTGATGTTTAAATGTATAAAACCATCCTCGACTTGCAACGAAAGTTTCACTTTTGTCACCTGCTTCAGTCTGAAATGTGATTAAAAATTCCTCTCTCTTTTTCCATTATAATAGCTTGGCTTAATAGCATATAGCGTTCAATTTCATCGTCAATCCGTATAGAAATTCGTTTTTCCATCTCCTGTGTCATATTACTTATAGAACGTGTTATTCCAATTGCAGAGGATTTTGTAGTTGTAGTTGCTGATGACATTATTTTTTCTTTCTTCTTGAGAATCGCCCTTATTGTTGAAGTTGACAAAACCAATTTGACACTGATGTTCATCACTATCTAATCATCTAAGCACTTGCATTTTAGTTTCTAGTAAAATGCTTTTTCTTGTCGCTTTATTTTCATGTTTCTTATTATCACCCATATTAAAAACTAAAAATTATAATATTTATCACTCTATCAATCATTACATAAACCTAGAGCAACAGCAACAAATGTTTGAATTAATGAAAATACATTTGTATAACACTACAGAGAAGAAGTAATGCAGATAAATTACTTTTGATTTTGGGGAAGTCCAATGCTGTGTACAATTTTCAAAGAATCCCACTATTTGAATTAAAACTTGTTAACCTGAAATAGTGCTACACGGAGCAGCGTTAAGCGAGGTCTTACTGTAGGATAAAATCTTGTATTCAGAAAGTTTCTTAAGTGTGATAACACCTGCCACATCAGGCTAGTTTAGCAAAGAATCTGTGCAAAATGCATTTCAAGTAATAAAAGCAAGAGAAAACAAAATGTATGAAATGCTAATACAGAAATGCAACTACAAATTGAATACATTGAATAAAAATCGAAAATAAAAATCGAAACAATAAAGGGAATACATTTTCCAATAAAATATCCCTGAGAGGGGGGAACTATATACAACAGAGGAAGGGGAAAATCATGTGAATATTTATAAAATTTATAGAACCTAAGGCTAAATGTTAGGGGAGAAAAACACTAGAAAATATGGTAAATAGGTAAATATTATGTGAATTCTCCAAGAGCATGAGAATTCATATTTAATAAAGAAAAGAAACTAAACTTACAAATAAAATATTTTCTGAAAATTGTTGCCAAAAAAAAGTTTGAATTAAAAAAGGAGAAACTAAATCCCAAATTAGTGACAAAATTTTGTAGTATTAGTAAAGGAGTGTATTCCAATAATAGTAGTAGTAATAATAATAAAATTGAATTCAGATTCTTTTTATGCATTATTTAGGTAATTGCATGTAAATTTATAATATTAATCATTTTAAAAATATTTGTTATAATGTCTGAAATGCAAGCAGTCATCCTGTTGGTAAATCAGTAAAAGGCTTACCCTATTAATTCTGTAGTCGTTAGAAGAGACTTTTTTTTTTTCAGCCAGAAGTACTCAAACTTGCTAAAAGATTGTCAAAAAAATCGTTGTCACTTGCTTTAAAATAGTGATAATGTACATATAATTTTATAAAAATGGTTATAACAATAACCATAGTCAAATTTTAAAATGTCTCCATTTTTAAGCAACTGAAATTTTCATAAGCAGTTTGCTTTCTTGACTTTTAGATTCTCCAATGCCCCCCCCAAAAAAAAGACTCATATTTGTCATCTACAAAAAAATAAATAAATAAATAAAAATAAAAATAAAATAAAATTTACAAGGATACAAAAATGAGCTGTATGATAAAATTGTAAAACTGGTTAAATCACAAAATATGTCATTTGCTATTATGTGAAACCTCTCTAAGGTGATATCATGATTGTAAAAAGTTTAATCTTCAGAGGATGTAAGCACCTTAGCAAGCATAATTATTAGGGATATTCGGTACTATTATTTATGCACATTCTCAGAAATACTAATAGTTTTTTGAGATGTACTTAGCTGAGTAAGATTACTGTGAGAAGTTTTGCTAACATCTAAAAATATTGAAAAGTATTTAAAATTTTGTAGTATCATTTGTTATATTTTAAGCAAATTTTGAAAGTGTCTGTGGTATAAACATTTTCTACTCTTCTGATAAATAATGAAAATGATTTTTATTATTTACTTTCACAAAAGTAATAGTGGTGTAAATGCAGATAATTGCTCAAGTGCCTAAAGCCAGATATTCGAAAATAAATAATAAATATTATTGTTAATTGTTGAATTAAAATTTAAACAAACAGAGCCCAAAATGGGATTGATTTCTATTGATCATCAAACAGCTAATATGGCAGAATATGTTGTAAAGAAATAATGTGTTTCCTTATGCGTTTCCCGCCGCCCCTTTTTTAGCTAATTTTATCTCCAAAAATCGAGAGGGGAAAATTGTGTGAGTAATTTAATTCCTGAAGAATGCAGTTATAGTAAGAATATAACAAATGAAAAGTAGTTATAGGTGAACTACTAGAACTCCTAGAGAATTATTTCTTTAGAAGAAGACTACATTCCGATAAAAATACATAGGAATATTAAAGATACAATATTTGTCCAATATTAGGCCAATATCTGGTGGTAGCAACAGGTCCAACCTTGAAGTCTTAGTCACCTTGAAAGTCTTAAGGGCACTTTATATGAATGAACCTTGACTGCAGTTCTCAAAAGACACATATCTAGGAAGGAAGGAGAAAGGGAGCAAACAAAAGACCCATTTTTTTTTAAAAATATTGAATGCATCAGCATTTAATAAAGCTACAATGAGCTGGAATGTAAATAATAGAAGTAAGGTGATATCCATGTATAAGAAACCGGTGACATCTGGGTAGCTTAATGAAAAATTTGCACAAAGTTTGCTTCAAGTAATAAATGCAGGGAGAAATGAAATGAAATGCTAATACAGAAATGCAAATTGAATATATTCAATAAAAATAAAAAATAATCAAGGGAATATGATTTACCTATAAACTAGTCCTCAAATGGAAATACCTCGTACAACAAAGAAGGAAAATAATGTGAATATTTTTAAAATTTTCAGAACCTAGCACTTCAAAGGCTGGGAATCGTAGGAGATAATATGCAAGGAAGTACGGTATGACAAAACATGAATATTTACCTCCATTAAGGCATTTTTGTAATTAAATGCATGTGTATACCACCAACAATTGCTATAATAAAGGCTGCATAAGGACTTTTATTGGAATTATATATAAATGGTACACTATTAAGATTTTCTGTGAGTTATATACATGTTAACTGTTAGTTTTATATTTTCATAATGTTTACAAGCTGTCTGAAAAATTAAAACTTTATTTGGGTTTTCATCAGTGTGAAAATTTAAGAAAATTATGAAACTGAAAGCAGTTAGCCAAAAAGTGTAAATTAAAATAATTATAGTTTAGAATAATAAATTTGTAATTAAGATAACTTTAAAATCATATTACTACAAATTTGAGTACCAAATTATATGTTATGAAAGGATTTTAAGTAAAATAAGTCAATGAAATCCTTTTTAAATTGTGTTGCCGTGCTGTGTGAAAATCTCCCAGTTTTTTTCTATTTTAAGGTTAGCAATTATGCACTATTTTATATCTGAAAATTTAATTTTTTATGACATTCTAGTTTGACTTATAGTAGCTGCTAGATCTAGCATATGAAAAATAAACTTATGCAACTTTAGCTTTGAAAATAATCCTCAGTATGTATCATTTTGTTTTCCATTTTTATGTTAATTTATAATAAAAACTTTTTTTGCAGGCTTGGCACAAAACAACTTGCTTTAACTGCAAAGAATGCCACAAAAGGTTAGAGTCTATGACATTATGTGAACGAGAAGGTGAAATTTATTGTAAAAGTAAGCATTATGATTCAAATTATTATATTTATTTGAACATACTGTATAAGAAATAATGCATTCAAAACTTAAGTCGTGTGTGTTACCTGTTTACAGCTTCTTAAGCTTCTACATTTTAGATGTATTAAAGTTAAATGTGATGCAAGTGTAGCCAGAAAATTTTAGGATTTAAAAGGCGTTTAATTGCATCATGGGTTAGGTTTGTTAAAATGTAGGTATGTGTTTTTATCATAGAAAGATATTAAATTAAATGATTACACTTTGGTCATGTAAAAATAAATAACAGTGATCTTTTTATTAATATTGTATTTTAACTTTTCTACTTAAAGTCCTAGCTCTACTTTACATTGTATAAAATTCAATTATATAATCGATAAACATGATACACAGAACCTCTATTATAAAAAAATGAAGAATCTGTGAGTAAATCCATTGCACTGCAGGAAGACAGTGGCATTTTACTCTGCCAAATATTAACCACATATTCTCGGTGATGTTTTGCACCTGGGCATGTGCATCTTTAATGTGTAATTGGTTTATGCAAACTTATTGAATATCTGATTAACAGGTCTGCGACTTGAAATGAGTTTATTGCCACTGCTTAGGGTAAAATACTTTTATCTTTATATCAGAATTGTGTTAGCATTTATCAAAGTGTAAGATTTGGAATTAACCTTTCAATTTAATTTGTCTGTTGTTGATTAGCAAAAAAATATAAATTTATAAATGAAATTTTGATATCAACTTTTATTATCAAAAAGTGTGGTTTTAATAATAATTAATAGACCAAAGAACTTCAAAAAGAGAATTAAAATATATGGTTTGAATTACAGAGAATAATAGCTCTTGGATATGTATTATTAAATTTTGGAACTTTTTATAATATAAGTAGTAGTTGTATTTCATAATATAATTAACATTTTTTAAATATTGATGATTTTTAACATTTGCTAGATTTTGTACATACATTAACATTGAATAACCCAAAACAAAAATGGCAGTAATATGAAATGTTATAAAATATTAATAACCCAAAACAAAAATGGCAGTAATATGAAATGTTATAAAATATAATAGTGCACTGATGTGCCGATAACAAACAATATTAATAATAAAAGCTTTCTGAAATTGGGGCATAACCAGTGGTAACTGGTGAATGTGATTTTCTGATAGTGAATCTATTCCAAGAAATATGAGTCTTTTTGTTGCTAAAATGACAACATTCCTAGATTTGTAAGAGGTAAAAGTTTTTCAGGATTAAACCATCAAGGGTTATATTTGTGTCAGGTACAGGTAGAAGTGGACAGGACACCAGAATTTCACCATTAGTTATACAAGTATAATCTTGACGCACTAGGTATGATCTTAGCACACTAACTGTGCAGTTTCGTCGTAGTTTTGAGGAAGAGCACTCTGGGGTGGGGTCTGAGAGCCTCCCACTATTTTTTCACTACCTCTCGAGAGGTTTGCTGCACAGACAGTATATGCTTACAAACATCCATGCGTCCTCCAGAACTTGAACCCGGATACATCGGCATGACAAGTTAGCCTCATTAACTGCTATACCAGCCGGGTGGCAATATATTTGTACCACTGGATTCATCTGTACTATCAATGGATATATAGCTGTAATGAATAAATGCAGATAACAGTGTGTTATTGATGGCTGTCATTAGCATAGACTGTTCTGCTGTTTATCTGAATGGCAGTTATGGGAAAGATCACATTCATGCTTAGTATTGAACTACAAGGAACTTCCATAAGCAAATCTTATTATATAAGCTGCACACTCTAGTTTGTGAAAACATACCTAGTTATGGCCATTGCATGTTGAATTTTAATAAAGGTATTTAAGCAGGATGCGCACAGGCTCTGAATCACATGCTTTCTTTGGGGAAGAGGGAGAGGCAGTTGTCTGCACTGTTAGTTTCACTATCTACTAAAACTATGTATTTGTTTTTTGTCCATCTGTTTAGATGCTAGTTGTCTTGAACTAAAAAGCATCATCTTTGTATATAAATTTTATTGATATTCTAAAACATGAAATCATTTAACAGAACGATTGCCTGCAGCACAGTGCAACTAAGAATGCTATTCTACTAAAATATAAACATGAACAACTGTTGCCATTCACACACTCAATAGTAAAATAAAGCATGTTGCCAGTAACAAGATTATTGTAAAAATCATAACCTGAAATTAAACAGTGAGAAAATAAATAAGATAAAACAAACAAAAAAGAAAGGAAATGCAAATATTAAATATACATCCAACATTAACTCCCAACCTTGCCATTGCATTAACAATAGATCATTCCCAGTGAAATGCCAATGGTAAAAGTTTTACTACAGGTCTTTTAAAATAACCATTAACAGTTTTTACTGTAATAACTCTAACATTGCCATCCTTTGCAGGATGGATTTCAATAATGCGACCCAATGGCCAAACACCAGGAGGCATGTTGTACTCCTTAATTAATACAATATCACCTACAGACAAATTTGGAAGTTGTTCCTTCCATTTGCATCTTTGCTGTAAGGAATTTAAATATTCCTTATAATATCTCTTCCAAAAACTTTGTTTCATTTGCTGTAATAATTCCCATCGTTTTAATAAAGTGGGTTTGGGAATATTAGAAAAATCCTGTTCTGGGATGCTAGTAATAGCATCCCCAGTTAAAAAATGTGATGGAGTCAAGGCATCTAAATTATCTACATCATTGTGATTAGTTTTAGATAAAAGACTGAATAAGTTTCTTACCATTTACAATCCAATAGTTTTGCTTTAAAATGTTTGCTAGTAAACTGGGCCCTGCATGCATATAAGTTATGTGATATGGTTTAACAAGGCAATCCTGTGTTGACCTGGGATAATTATGGGATGTTTAGCATTGAATGCGAAGTCAGAATTTTGCAGCCGACCTCCCACCCTTAACACACCATCATCATCTAGAAAAGAAAAAAGTGAGCTTAAAACACTTTTAGGACTTAAAGATGAATTATATTTTACATCTTTGATATCTTTATGGAAGTGCACAAACTGGAACCATTTTAATGATCAACTTCATAGCTTCTTGCCTTTCATTAGATGAAGGTACTACTGCAGAATTTTTTAACCTATTATCTTCAGAACCAAACACCTGTTTTTTGTGCCTAGAAATAAATCTTAAGCAAAAAGAAATTGCATTAACTATTTTAGATATAGAAGAACAGTTCTGAAATAAATTGTCCAAAGTGTCATTAGTCAAATAAGCTGTTGTACAAAAAATTGATTTTGTCCTTTGTTCAGTTAAGACAGTTTTCATCACTATTGGTCTCATTACTGATATAACATTGTAGAGGCCACTTTGAACTGTCGAATGCTAAGAATGATGGCCCATGCCACCATAGGGATATGTTCGGTAGAAGTTTAGGAACGATTCCTCTAGAAGGAAGATCGGCAGGATTCTGTTTCGATGAAATATAGCTCCACTGTTAATAGGGAATGGCATCTAATATTTCTGAAATCCTGTTTGCCACAAAAAGCTTTCATTTCATTCATTTTCGAGGATTAGCTGCTAACCAACAGAGAACCACCTTAGAGTCAGTCCAAGCGTGAAAAGAAATTTCAGTGCTGGAGAAGACCTTATGAAAAGCTTTGTTTAGTCTGGCAAGAAGCAATGCACTTAGGAGTTCCAGTCTAGGTATAGACACTTGTTTAATGGATGCAACTTTGGTTTTAGCAACCACCAAATTGACTTCATTCCTGTCATGATATGTTGGTTGAACAACTGAATTTTTAGGTTTACATGATCTGTCAAATACTACGTGAAGTTTAGTGGTAAAGCTACTTGGTTTAACAACAGCATGATGCAGTAGATAATATACTTGATTATTTTCTTCAGTTTGAACAACTGGAGGCATATGATTTAAAGTTTTGTATTCTTGCATGAACTCTTTGTATTGCCTACCAAGTTCTTTATCTAAATCAACTTTTCTTTCCATGGATAGATGATTGGCAATAGCCAAAGGTTTGAAGTCACCTAACTCTTCAGCTTTATTGAAAATGGGCAGTTGGACGACGAATCTGCCATTTTCGTTTACTCGATTGTTTTCTTTAAAATGCTTCTCACAAAACTCTTCTTCAATCATTGGGTTCTGATTTTATAATTCTTCCAACTCCCCAAAACGCTCAAGTGTTGCATTGACGTTATCCTCAGTATATAAACTAATGCAATTAACACTAATGGGGTACGGAATATTGCCTTCTGTTTTGATTCTGCCCGCTACAACCCAACCAAAAATAGTATTTTGCACAATTACATTTTTATAGCCAACAATCTGCCCTGGCTGAAGCAGAGAAAAGAAATAGTCAGTTCCAGTTAACATGTCTATTGTTTGGGCATACTGAAATTCAGATCTGCAAGATTAATTGAATTCAAATAATCAAGGTCTTTGCTGTCAATCTTTACTAAAGGCAAATGCGAAGTTAATTTGTTAAGAATATATGCTTGTATTAAAACACCATTTTGTTTTTAGCTCAGATTTCGGAAACAATTTTACATTTACATAACCACCAGTCAAAGCTGTTTCAGGATCACCAAGTCCCTTTACAGAAATACGAGCATTTTGTCTGCGTATATTTAACAGTCAAATAAATGACTCACTGATGATAGAAGCTTCACTTCCACTGTCGAAAAGGATGATACATTCGTGACCTTGACTAGCAGAATCGTAAATTATTACTGCTGCTGTTGGTAAAAATGAAGTACTCTGACCCTGAATAGAAAAATTCGAAATATTATTTTGTTCGTCTGAATTTGAAATTTGTTCACCAGACGGAAATGAATTTGGCATTACTACATTATTACTTTTAAATATGGTGTTTTGCTTTAAAAATAGAACACAAATTCTACGATGAACAAAATTTTACTTGATGATTCTCGAAACAATTGAACCATAATAAATTCTTCCGGATGATACTTTTCCTAGTCGTAATATCTGCACCTTTAAATTTAGAACACTTTGCTAAAGTATGAGAACCATTGCAGTGCTGAGATTTTAGAACAGAATGTTTATTATTACGTGAAACATTCTTAGAAACAGAGCACTGGTTTTTATGCAGTACTCGCTTTTTAGTATTATGAGTGTTCAACATTTAGAGTCTGTGTATATATAACAGTCGAATAAATGACTCACTGATGATAGAAGCTTCACTTTCACTGTCCAAAAAGGATGATACTTTCGTGACTTTGACCAGCAGAATCATAAATTATTACTGCTGCTGTAGGTAAAAATGAAGTACTCTGACCCTGAATAGAAAAACTCGAAATCTTATTTTGTTCGTCTGAATTTGAAATTTGTTCACCAGATGGAAATGAATTTGGCACCACTACATTATTACTTTTAATTATAGTATTTTGCTTTACAAATTCTTACAATCTTTACAAATTCTATGATGAACAAAATTTTACTTGATGATTCCAGAAACAGTTGAACCATAATAAATTCTTCCGGATAATACTTTTCCTAGTCGTAATATCTGCACCTTTAAATTTATAACACTTTGCTTTTAACGCTTTTTATGCAATACTCGCTTTTTAGTTTTATGAGTGTTCAACATTTCGAGTCTGTGTATATTTAACAGTCGAATAAATTGTACAGATTCTACGATGAACAAAATTTTACTTGATGATTCCAGAAACAATTGAACCATAATAAATTCTTATGGATGATACTTCTTCTAGTCGTAATAACTGCACCTTTAAATTTATAACACTTTGCTAAAGTATGAGAACTATTGCGGTGCTGACATTTTAGAATAGAATGTTTATTATTACGTGAAACATTCTTAGAAACAGAGCACTGATTTTTATGCAATACTCGCTTTTTAGTATTATGAGTGTTCAACATTTCGAGTGAAACACATCTTGAGTTTAAGAATTCAAAAAAACATTCTACGATAGAAAATTCTTCACCAATTTTTTGTGACCTGGCATTTCATAAAATGATACCACAGATGTAGTTTGCAATGGATTTCGTATTTTATGTTATAAGACAAAAAATGGTGCACCAGGAAAGCGTTATCTAATTAAGATAAAAAATATAATAATAGTTGTGATTTGCATACACTGGGGGGGGGGGGAAGGGGAAGGTTCATGCAGGATTTCGTGGGCTTTCGGGTCAGTTCACTGCAATTCTGGGGATCAGAAATGCTTTCCATAAACTTCTATATGGGCTCTGTTGGGAAGAGGTCTGATAACTTAAATGGCTGAGGAAATATTTCGCAGGGCATGAACACTTACCAGTAGCAATGCGTGCAATGTTCAGCCAGGTATTATTTATTGAAATGCAAGCCTAAGTTGCCACATAATGAACAACAGTTTAGCAGCTCATAGAATTTCAACATCTGTGCTTTTAAAGATGCCATGAATGTTAACAAAAGAGTATGACAATTTAAAAAGTATTGTGCTCCAGCCCATAACACACTGTTGTTGACTTGTATGGCATGTGATTGTGAAAGTAAGGTTCTATCCTTGACCGGACATCTTCAGACTTACTTCATTGTCCCTGGACCCAGTTCTTCACTAAAACTAGTTCTACAGTGTAATTCTAGGTCAACTAAACTAAGCATACTTAATGTTGTTCATTGAAGTGATGTAATGAGTTGCATAAATATTGATTCCACTCTCTGAAATGTTTGAGTCCACTCATTGAGTAGAAAGGTATTTGTTTCATTCCAATCAGATTATATTTTCAAGGCGCATTGATTTTTTTATCTCTTAGAGTAGGGGGTCTTCAACCTTTCACGCTTGAGGACCACATCAATAAATTCATTGAGCCACATGTCTGTCAAAAAACTAGTGTAGTCTGAAAATTTATATAAAAAAGGGAGGTTTGTTTTGCAAGACTGCAATTGATTCTAAGCGAAGAGATAGTGTTTACAGATTTGTATATATATATATATATATAATATATCAAACAAGGTAGTAATTACAATTTTGAAAAACTAATTTTGGTCTAGAAAACATCTTGCGCAATATGCTGCAAAATAAGTAAAATATAAAAAAATGTAGTAAGCTCGCCTAAAAGTTACCAAGAGCTGCTGCTCCAAAAAGTTCTATGTTATTTATCTGAGCCAGTGATTGAAAGTAAAGAGGGAGCTAGCCTGCTTTACAGTGTTTTTTGGGAGGAAGACTAACCTATCATGAAAGTGGAACTGTAAACAGTTCCCGGCAACTTATAAGCTAAAGCTCAAAAACCTAAAAAACTAAATATATCAGAACTTACTGACACTTTTCTGCGCTAAAAGCTGCGAAAAAGAAATAATATATCAAGCAAGGTAGTAATTACAATTTTGAATGATTCCAAAAGGTCAAATGGGAATCGAATTAAAATCCTTTAAAACTTTTTTTAACTATGAAAAAAAAAGTATAACAATGTTAGAAAATGCATTTGCAATTTAAAAAGAAAAAAAAAAAGAAAAGAAAAAAGAAAAAAAAAAAAAAAAAAACCTTACATTACTGGTGGGAGATGGTAGTCACTTTAGTTTTAATGTGAAATTTGATTTTCTTTTTTCCCCCCCCCTTGATTAAAGCTTCAATATCCAGTTTAATCTGTGTTGTTGCAATTCATAGTTTCCTCCAAATGTCTGTGTGATAGCCGTGTTCTTGTTTTTGATTTTAGGATTTTCATTTTACAATAAAGCTGTTCACATGTATTTCCAAAGATAGAAGACATTAAGAGTGTATGTTTACGAATTTCTGATGCTTGTCTTCGGTCACATACTTCGAATAAAAATCAATTAATGTAGGATTTTCAAGAAACTTGCATTTTTAGTGCAGAGTCACACGGTAAATCTATAAATTCTAATTGAAGTTCAGGTGCAACACATATTACATAAGATAAATTGCACAAGATAAAGGGAGATTTTTGAAAAAATTCGCCATTTTCAGAAAATTTTGTTCCAAATAATATCAGGCATGTCAATAGAATATTTTAAATATCAAGAATGCGAGGGGAAAAAAGGGGTTTTTTTAATGACAAAAAGCTGACAAGGAAATTTTTTCTTGAAATCAAAATTCTGTAAAATTTTTGAATTTTTCTGCAAATTTAAATGTGGGGCCACTAAAATAACTTCAGTGGGCCACAGGTTGAAGACAATCTTTCTTAGAGCATATGTACAAAGCTATCACTCATACTAAAGGAGAACCAACATGCTATTATAGAAATTGGTTTGATTATTCAGTGTATTGATAATGATAAAATGTGAATATGTCTTTTTATATGTAAAAATATTCTAAATCTTGTAATTAATATTTTCAGCCTGCTATGGGAAACTGTATGGGCCAAAAGGTTATGGATATGGCCAAGGAGCTGGCACACTTCAGATGAGTTAGTTTACAAGGACTGATGATGCACGATTTTAGTTTTAAATGCTGTTTTTTTTTTTTTATATATATATATATATATATATAAATCTGATTGACACACTTGCACACATTGACACGGAAGGCAGCTCTAGATTATATGTTAACTCCCTTCACCTTGACTATAAATAATGTTGTATTTTGTATGTGTAATTTAAATGATTTTTTTTTTTTTTTTCCTGTGGCACTTCATATAAATTATGACAGTTTGCTTAGTAACTGAGTTTTTAATTACATAAAAAGTGTTGAGAATGCACATTAAAAATATCTTTTTCCAATGAGTGAATGAATTTAACATCTATGTAATAAGAATGGGATTCTGTAAGCCTAAGAAGTTATTTATTATTATAAAAAATTTGTTGTGGAAAATGGAGAGTAATGCTCTTTGTTTTTCTTTATTTCTCTCTGATGTGATTTTATTGTCTATATTTAAATTAATTCTAAAGTTTTCTTTATCTGCTCTTCCCATAAAGTTTGCTATTATAGATTTTTTTTTTTTTTTTTTTTTTTGGTAAAATGCTAATGTGCTGGCTAGTTTACCTCTAATGTTCAAAATCTGAAATAAGTAATTTCAGTGTTATAAAATATATATGAATGTTAAGATGTTAGAGGTTAATATGATAACTGTCATATAGAGCAAGTATATGATATATGTTATTTACTTGAATAAGAAAATTATTTCAAGAATAAATGTGTTAACTATTGTTACTAGAAATTATCATATGCATGCATTTATTATTATTTTTTAATGCATTTTGAATTCTACTAAATATATGTGTAATTTAGCAAATTCATATTTTGGTAGACAAATGCCTTTACTGTTATTAAATATCATGCTATTGTAAAGTTAGATTACAATAGGAATATACTGTTTGTTCAGAGTAAGCAATATTAGCCTTCAATTTCAACTAATAGTATAAATTAGTAATATCATATAAATGTTGAAATATTATAATTTTATTCTTGTAAGCATTTGATATAAATAGCATTACTTCTTGTTTTGAAGTTGTAATGAAGTTTATTGTTACTGATAAACAAATTTTGCTCAGAAAAGATAAAAGATCTTTCATGGACTGCATGACTTAGTCCCTTAAAAATCAAAAGTAGGCTAAATACATCTATTCTAGAAACATTTTTTATTGCTGAAAAGTTTCTTAACTTCATACAAACATATTTTCGTCAAATACATATAAATTATATCTGTTATCAAATCCTTACTTCGTACAAGGATATTTTTTAATCGCTTATATGTGTTATCAAATCTTTTACCTTTCATAAGAAATTAATTTTGAAAGCAGAAAAAATATTATATTTCTTGGAGGAAAAAAATGTGCCCCTTTTTTTTAAATCAAAATTTTAAAACCATATAGAGGTAACTTGTACTTCTCAAGCTACCGAAATGCTACATGTGCTCACTAAACTTAACTTCTCCCCTTCTACAGATATGTTTCAGTTTATTTTAACTGTTTAATGTCTACTTTTCTGGTAAAATTTATATGCATTCAGTGATTTAGAATTTTCAAAACATCATTAATAAGATCTAAATTACTTGCATTCCTCAGATGTGTAGTGAAAGATTAGATATTTTTTGGTCTGATATGTTAGATTTATATGTTAAACTAGTTCATTGTTTATTATTATATTATTTAACAATTTAATACATTTTAGAAAACTCACAAGATATTTTCTTTGATTGATTTGGTGTTCATTTTCTTTCTTTTTTATATGAATGTTTGTTGAAATATTTTTTTTTTTTTCCCCTATCGAAAATATTTGTCCTAATTTGGTAGATTCTAATCACAGGATTAAAAACTTTATTTTACTGTGTTTTATACTGGATTTCATTTCTCATATCTTACTTCAATACCGTGCTGTTGTTTCATATGATTTGTGTGACGTTAAATGTGAAGGTATCATAGCATACAAGGTTGTAAAATTTTATAATCAGAAATCACGTGTAATTACTGAGTATATTGCCAAATTATTGACTATACATTATATATATATATATATATATATATATTAATATCTGTATACAATTCATTGTTAAATAATATTATCATAGATTTATAAAAAGATTTATAAACAGTATATACCAGTTTTCAGCATAGATTGAAATTTTTATCAAATTCCTGTGTATTTTTCATTCCTTGAAACCTCTAGATGCGCTCAATAATTTCATCAAAGGAGTCTGTTTCTATAATTCAACATATATATATCTTATTCATTTTTATCTAAATAGTTTATCCCCTATTCATAATTTACTTTTATTATGACTTAAATGATTGAGTTAGGGCTTATCATTCAGTAATTAAAAAGTATTGATATTGCTTTATAATTGGTGAATAGTGCAGATGGTTCATTCCCTAATTCTAGCAACAGAGGAAGGAATAAATATAGATTTTGTGTATTAAATACAGTGTTTTGAGATCAGAGTTAATATTGAATCATTGATTTATAATTAAATACTGATTCATAAAATATTTAATAACAAAAATATGAATCAGTTTAATATAGAATTGTTTACTTCTAGTGAAGCTAATTTTGAAACTAGAAAATTTATTTACTAAATATATCATTTTGTCTTTTTTTTGTTCTAGATTATGATTCTTTTGAAGTTTTACAAACATCAGAATTTATATGGTCTTGAAAAATTGTTGAAATGAATGAAAGGGTCTCCAAAATCTTTTCATTTATTGAGGAACATATTGTGATGTTTCACATGATACTTTTTAGTGCATAGAAGAATTTACGTATAGCCACTTCTTTACTACTCTGAAAAATACTTTTTTTAATCATTAACGAGATTAATTTTTTTAAGGCAAAGAAAACAAATTATATTTTTCCTTTTGAGGGAAAATGGAGAGGCAAGCAAAAGTTTTAACTGAAAATAAAATACAAGCTGTTACTGTAAAACTTACTGTTCATTTATAGCTTTGCTATAAATTATTAGAAAAATAGTCTTACAAAAGTGCATTTGATGCTGGTGTATCTGACTATTTATATCAACTTAGTTCTTCACACTTTTATGTACTTTGTACCATTTACAGTTTTAAAATAATCAGTAGATTCATAAAAAATGTTAAATTTTAATATTTATAAGAAGTCCAAACATTGTATTAGATTATATGTTATTATTTAGAATTAGGTTATTCATAATTTAAAATTTAGAATTGTTTTAGTTGAATCAAGAAGATAATGTATAATTTAGGGTATCTTTTCAGTTAAGACTGTCTGAGAACAAAATATATAACTCGTTCCAATTATGAATATTTGAGAGCAAAATTTTTTTATTCTTTTAGTACTGATATGAAACTCAAGTATATTCTGTACTTCGCTTTTTTTTTTTTTTTAATGAGTACAGCACATTCTTTTATGCACATTCCGCCATGACAAAAACATTCGTATTTTTTATGCTACTTTTATATAAGATATACTTAACATTCCTTTTTTTAAGGACATTAATTATATTCTGTGGGGTTTTTTTTTTAATTTTATTTTATTTGTAGTGATATGCTGTTTTTTCAAATCTAATCAAATCGGGTAGGAGTTTGTTTTCATTTAAATATGATACCAATAACTCTCTCTTAAATATCTTCACATTGTATCTGAATATCTGAATTTGGACAGGTCAGGCCTGCCACTTATTCTAATGTTGAAATTATTGTAGATGTGTGCAAATTGAATCAAAATGTTATATATGAATTATATAATAAAAATGTACAAATGTACAGAGTATAAAAGATATATTTAAAATATTTATAGAGGATGATTAAAGTTACAACATATTTTTAAACTGTTGAAATCATGACATTGTATTTTTTCTGTCTATACATTATTCCATTTTTTCCATAACTCTGTTTATTCGTGATTATATCTTGATAAATACTCAGGTATTGGTATGGTTCAAGGATACCTGTAAGTGTAACCATTATGTATTGAATATTCCAATTGATTTATTTCTGATAATAATGACAATTTATTAATTTTTTTAATTAAAAATATATTGATGTACCATTTAAAGTTGTTTTAAAAGGTAGTTTGTATAACAATCATGTAATCAAATTATTCCGGAATTAAAATTTTGTTTTAATCTGTTTAAAATAGTAGTTATTAAGCTTTTGTTAATAGTATACCTAAGGCTTGTATCATCATTTATGCAACAGATATATGATATGATCGAACAAAAAAAATTGATTAACAGTACAATGTTCAAAAATTTTTAATGAATCATTTCTTTCTTGTTGCATTTAACTGGCTGCATCTAATGCAGATTTATTATTTTTATTTTTTTTCAACTATTTTAAATAAAATCTATTCAGCTACAGGTATCTTTGTTCCTATTTATGTCTATTACTTGCACCATTTTTACTTATATAGTGCTGCTGCAATTTAAAAATAATTTGCAATTTTGCATTGTTCTAAAAAAAAATATTTTAGTAGCTAATGACATTTGCATTGAACTATTTTATTTTAGATGCCTTTGTGCAGAAATCTATTACTATTTTGTGCAGAAAAATAGTAATTGTCATTCTAATTAGTTATGTTTTCTCATTAAGTAGTGAAAAGCATTCCTGTATACCATTTTTGTTAATAAAATACAGAACTATTTCTCCCAACTTTTGTATGCTTTGTTGAAATGTTTCATTTCATTAGATTCTGGCATGCAATATATTTATTGAATTATTACTTTATTGGCTTATCTTAAATTTTAAAATGCTTTAAGGGGGCAGGGGTTAATGATTTAGGAGGATTTGTTGAAAGCACTATTTAATTATGTATATTACCCGCCCTTCAAGAATTTACATAAATATATGCATTTAGTATGCAGAATAATTATTTTGTGTGCTCCATATAATTATAAATCTCTGCTATATCAGAGTAGAAAGTTAATCTTCCAGCTGAATAATCCACTTACCTGCCAAAAGTTAATTTGACTGAAAATTGATGTATGGAATTAAATCTAAAGTGATATTTTACTCTTTATCAAGTAAATATCTTTTTATATGCCTATTTCAACAAGAAGGGCAATAACAATGTAATTTTACACTGATATTTTTGACAAGTAATAAGGCCTGTATAATGATTTCCTGTGCATTTTCATAACTTATCCAGGAGATACAGATAATAAATATATGTGTTAATGAGCTTTATAATGGGTTTCAGATGGTGAAGTCTTCATTCTTCATTCTTGCATTTTCATAACTTATCCAGGAGATACAGATAATAAATATATATGTTAATGAGCTTTATAATGGGTTTAAGATGGTGAAGTCTTCATTCTTCATTTTTGCATTTTCATAACTTATCCAGGAGATACAGATAATAAATATATATGTTAACGAGCTTTATAATGGGTTTAAGATGGTGAAGTCTTCATTCTTGTATGGGTAATATATGATTGTCTTTTAAATTATGTGACCTAGTACCTCATCTATGTATACACTTGTATAGCATTCCACATAACTGCATTAAAGTTTTCCCCGTTATTTTATGTGATTTCTGTTGCTAATTATGGACAGTTTCATTTAAGCAAAAAGAAAAAAAAAAGTGATAATTTTTTAAAATGGGAATTTGTCCAAAATAAGCAGGACAGCCCATTTAACTGGAGGCCTTACTAACAAAAATTAATTGTCTGTATTTTATTAAATTATTATTGTATTAAAGCAAATGTGTTCACACTCATTTGAACATATTTTTTCTTTGCTTATCAACTTTAAATTAATCTTATGAAAGTTCAAATATACCAAGTGTCCTGTTTTTACCAGGAGAATCATAGCCTTCCAGTTTATATCATGGTAAATGTCTAAATCTTCCAGTTGTATTTTTTTTTTTTTTTTAATTTAGGTCACATCATAGCAGTTATGATCTCAAGCAAAATAATAGGAACAAGATGAAATGAAAAATTACTAATATTAAATCACTTGCAGATTCCTTATTAAGACTGAGGCATCCGTTTCTCATTCTGATTTCAGTGCATGATTTCATTCATTTTGTCTTTGTTTTGTGTTAATGATGATATTTTAATCCAGTAGTATTGTTTTGTTTTGAAAAGTAACTATTGGAAAAGATTTTTTTCTCATTTTTAAAAATGCTTCATTTAAAATACTGTGCTTAATTCTTGCTTAAAAATTGCAAAATCTCTTGATTCAAACTGGTTTGACTTTTAACTGTACTCTTAAATGAGTGGTCTCCAAAGTGTGGTACATGTACCACATGATGCCCCAGGAGGTACACAAGATGACAGTTGGGGGTATGTCAAAGAAGTACGCTGGTGAGCATACTGGGAGTTTTTAGAAAAGATATCATTAGAAATGTTTCCATCATTGTGTGATTTTGCTTCTGAAAATGAGGTAAATGTGGAATAAAAGCAGTCTACCAATCTTCCTAGTATTATTATTAGTTAAAAGAGTTTTAATGGGCCATAGGTTCTATTTGCTGAAAGTATAAAAATAGATCATCTTTTGACTGCAACTGATTGACGTGAAAGAAAGAACAATGTTACAATCCGATTTTAAAGGGGGAAAAAATATTTCTTCCTAATTTGTAGATATGATTGAAAATTGAATATCCAGATTTTGTAAGCCGGAATGCATTTGGTCCTAGATATCTGTATGAAGTAGCATTTTCTGCAATGACAACAATTTAAACCAAATGAAGAAATAAATTAAGAGTTAGAACCAGATCCTTGAAGTGGGATGAAGAGATAACAGAGGGCATGAAACCAAATTTTTCTGATATTGCTAGCAAATACAATCAAATTGTTAGCACTAAGTCTAAATCAAAATGTAAATTTGTAATTTAATTTAGATGAATGTATTTTGTTTAAAATGAAAAATAATAAATAATCTGATTTTTGATTACACCTACTCACACATTATATATTATATTATTTTGTATTACAGGGGTATTTTCATCTTAGGAGTATGCAACTAAAAAATTATAGGATTTCAAGAGACACAATATCTTTGAAGTGTTACACTTTAACATGGCAATAAAAAAATTTTGAGATTGTTGTACATTTCCAAGATACTGTGTCTCTTGAAATCCTATAATAAGCACAATTGGTATTCTGA